TAGAGATTAGCTACTTTTTAATTAAGAAATCAGGATCTAAAATATAAAGACTATATAGATTTCTAGCAAATTAATATATTGCTAAAGAAGATATATCAGTAAAGTGAAAATTGAATTAATTATACTTAATTCCAAAAAATGAAAACTAGAACTACAACTTAGGAAATATAAGACCAATTGTTTTACTAGAAGCATTCTATAAAACTATAGTAAGAGTTATTACACTAAGACTAGATCTAATACTAGTTAGCTATAAAGTATTAAAAGGTTTAAATTATACTAGTCTCTTAGATGATAGCATAGCAAGCTCTATATATATTATAAATAATCTGCTCAAAGATGTATAACAAAAAAACAAAGAGGTGTAGATCTTATTCTAGAATATAAAAAATACTTTTGATACTATAAGTTTAAGTATGATAGAAAAGGCTTTAAAAAGAATCAAAATTTCTGATTCAATAACAAAATTCCTCATCAACCTATATAACAAGAGAAAGATTAAAGTTATCACAGAATACAGCCTTACTAAAGAGTTTGAGACAGGAGATAGATTAGATCAAGAAGAAGTCATATCACCACTCATATAGTATATATTTTATGACCTATTGCTTTGTACAGTTTGTGAAGAAAAAGATCTAGAATACAAAATAGAACTAAAATAGCCTAGTAATCTAAAAGTAAACAAAACTTAGATAACAAGTTGTTAACAAGTAGTCTTAGTATATACAGATAATATAATATGACTTGTAAGATTCAGAAAGAAGATACAAAAAATAGTTAATATCTTTACTGAGTTTTTTTTTTTTTTTTTTTTATTGTTTAAGGCAGTTTACATTGCCGACGGGATTTTATTAGTATTTGCATATGGAATTATACATTGATAATCCCTACTGTTTGTAATTATATAAAGAGTGTACAACAAGCCACACGTACAACTTTAGTCATTGTCTAATTTAAGTAGTCTGCCACACAGACGATTAGACTACCCAATTGGTTCTACACTATGCTACCATACCTGTAACTCACCTGTGAGTTACCTATTTAAACACTCTGTTCATTAACCTATACAGATCCAAACCTAACGTCACCGCAACACCTAACCGCTTAAGCCAGCTAGCTCGTTACAGATCCATTTACTCAAATCAGCTTAGGTCCTCTCGGGATACACTATACCAGACGCATTGCTAGTATTGCAGAGCCAGTTAACCTCGAAGCAAACCCACTAGAGCAGCCCATACCCATTTTACGAGATCACCTAGATTAGACCCTTATAGATGTTTATACAACCCCAGTTTCTACTGTGGCTCTCCACCAGTTTTCTGTATTCTATTTTCTTAGATATTTTACGAGGCAGATCCTCCTAATCCAGTTAGCCGCCAAGCCAGGTTGGTGTTACTGATCCTCTCTGTAGAACAGATTTATGCGTACTTGACTTGATCTGCATCTTTGACAATAGTTTCCTTTTTAGATCAAGCATTAGCCAGTGTGACCATTGAAAGCCGTACTACTTTACTAACTCAAGATTTCTACCATGCAGGTCCTCTGCTCATATATCATTTGTGTGCGCATATCATCCTGTAATTAACTACTCCACACTAATATTTTTTCCTATTAAGATTTATTCATGTGCGCATATTATCCTGTGATTAACTGCTGCCATACTACCAATATCCGATTGACTTGATGCAACTTAACTTACAGGGTTACAACTCCAGAAATAGATAGAGTTTACTGTAAGTTGGGTACAAAGGTCCAGGTAATTATCAAATTCATCGACAGTAGGATTTGAACCTCAGACCTCTTGCATGGTAGTCTGGTAACCTAACCACTATACTAAGATCGCCAGACCAAATCCTATTTATTTCTAAGAGTGTATTTTTATAAATTAAATTATACTAAATTAATCTGAACTTAGAAGTATAACATAATATTACATGAATAAATTTTAATAGAATATATGAGCAGAGAATTTGTATAGTAGAAATTCTGAATTAGTAAAATAGTATAGCTTTCTGACAAGACTATATTAGTTAAAATCTGATCTGAAAAGAAAACTCAGTCTAATAAAAATAGAAAGTTTTAAAGTCTTCAGATAAAAAGTAACTAGGACTAGTTAGATACTAGAAAAGAACTAGATTAACTAACTAGTAGAAGACTACAGTAGAACTTGAAGTTGTATAAATATTTACAAGAGTCTAAACTAAATAAATCTGTAAAATAAATATAGACTACTCTAGTAGATTTGTTTTGAGATTAACTGGCTCTGCAATACTAACAATACTTTAGATATAATATATTTCAAAAAGATTTAAGCTATTTTGAATAAATAAATTTATAATAAGCTAGCTAGCTTAAACAGTTAGATATTATGATAATATTAGATTAAATCTGTATAAGTTAATAAATAGAGTATTTAAATAAATAACTTATTAGTGAGTTACAGGTATGGTAGCATAGTATAGAACTAATCAAGTAGTTTAACATCTATGCAATAGACTACTTAAAATAGATAATAACTAAATTTGTATGTATAGGTTGTTGTATATTCTTCATATAATTACAAACAGTAGAGATTATTAATATATAATTCTATTTGCAATTTTAATAAAATTCTTTTAGTAGCAGATTCTTCAGACCAAATTCAGAGCAGAAGAATAATACATAGAAAAGTCCAAAATCTTATAAAAAAACCTAAGAAGTACTATTAAACAAAGTTGTGCAGATAAAGAAATTATAGATAATAACTAAAGAAGATAGAAAACACAGAAATAATTTTCAAGAATATAGACTAAAAAACTAGAAATTGTAAAGAAATTTTCATTATTAGATTTATTTTTTGAAGAAATAACAAAACTCTAAAAAATTTTGTTGATCATTACATCAAATAAGATAGTACAGATCATACAAAATAGGATACCAAGTCACTAATACATATATTTACAAACAAGAAATATAAATAAACAACACATGATAGACAAGTAAATACATGATAATACCAAACTAAAGAATAAATATCAACTTAGAACCAAACAACTTTTGAGGGTTTTCAATTAAAGTATATAGTATTTTTTGAATTTTTTACTAGGTAAAAGTTAAAATACTCTAGATTTAAAGAAAAATAGTAATTTAAAAAATATAAAATAAGAAAAAGACTGGTAAGCTAATACAAGATATTACATAAAAGTATAAAGATAAGATAGCAATAGATAGTAGCAAGTTAGTACTAGAATTAGAAGAACATCTGATAAAATAGTAGCAGAGTTAATAGAATTAAACTCAGAGATAATCAAAATAGCAAGACTGTAGTATGCAATAATTAAAAGAGCAGTAATAACAAAAGGTTTCAATAAAGTTATTAATATTTTAAGACAAGATAGAATAGAAAATATAGAAGTATCAAACAAAGAGGAAACAAAGACAGAAGTAGTATCAATGAACATAGAATTAGAACTACTAGCCTCAATCAGTTTACCTAGTATGCCAAATAGCAGAGTAAATATAAACATAGAAACTGAAAGATTAGTAGCAAACAATTTATTAACAAAAATAATGAAAGTAATAGAAGATATCAGAGCAACTAAAGGTATCAAAGACTTAACCTCTAATAAAACAAAATCCAAGAAAAAGCTAGAAATAGCAGTGAACACAGTTTCTGAAAGCTACAAAAGCATTACTTTAGAGGAAAGTATTTGAGTATTAAAAAAAGAAAGATACAAACATATAGAAGATATTACTGCTAAAGTAGCAGCAATAAATATCTCTGAAGATAGCTTTGAGTATAGAATTAAGTCACTAAGATAGCTATTAAGAGAGAATATACATGTAAAAGATATTTTAAAAAAATTTAAAAAAAGTAATCAATAGTATATAATCACTTTTAACTGTGAAAAAAGGTTTTTGAAAGCCAGAACAAGACTAGAATATCCAAAAGAAGAGTATGAAAAACTCAAACTCATTCTAATAATATCTCAGAAGACAAACTCAGAAGCTAAATTAAAAGAAAAGGCTCAGAATAAAACCAGAAGCAAGGAAAGCAAAGCAGAAAGAGAACAGTGAATATAAAGAAAGTTAAAAGATATATCTGAGCTAAGAAAAAGAAAATCATACAAAAGTACCTATGAAAGAGGTACTTTTAAACATAGCACTTCAAACTTTGCAGAACAAACAAGTTAGAAACAAGAGTCATTTGATATTCTTAATTAATTAACAATATGAAACCTTCAAAGTTAGGCAAAGAGAACTCAGATTTTTAAAACAACACAATACCTAAGAAGGATTGTATATATTAAAATGATAAGAGAACTACTAAATAAAACTAGAGCAGAAGTTACCTTTATATCAGATATAATAAGCTCTGAAGAACTCAAGAATATGTAGTGTATTTTATTTATAAGCAAGTTCTTAGTAAGAATGACTACTGGAGCAAACAGCTTCAAAAAGCCTAAAGAATATAATAAATATATAAGAAGACTAGTTAATATATCTGAAAATGTAAGTGAGATTCTTTAATGAAGACAAGTAATGTATACTAGAACTAAAACTATGCATATCTTCTAAAACACAAACAACAACAATATAAAAAGTATAATAGTCTTCTTCTCAAGCAAAAAAAATATTTTAGATAGTTCAAAATTTGCAATATTCTATTTCAACAATAAGTTCAGATAAAGCTCTAAGACAAGGTTCTAAGACAAAGAAGAACAAGAGATTTAGGAAAAAACTAGAGAAACATATCTCAAAAGAAGTTTTAATAGCTTAGAAAAGATGAAAAAAACTGAACAAAATCTAAAAGAAGAATGCTTCAAAGTAATACAAAGAACAAAGCAGAATGAAAAAAAATTCATAGAAAGATATAAGGAGTACCAACCAAAGAGAAGTTTTGCAAATAACTAGAAAATATGAAAACATTTAAAAGTAGAAACAAGTAAAGACAGTGAAGAGTTAACTGACTCAGATAAAAGTAATCAAGTATAAACAAGAAGACTAGAAAGAAAAACTAAATGCAGAGCTTATCCAAACAAAGAAGGTAAGTATATGGGCGGTCAAAAGTAGAAACTGCTGAATTTGGTAGATCATTAATCTTGAAATAATTAGATAAACATAACTTTGTTACACAAAATAAAACTAGTTTAAAAATAGCATAATCCAGCTATTAACTTGTTCCAAACAAGATTTTGACTATGTAATTTGAATTTCTACGTGAACTAAAATATTTAATTAATTTAATTAATTTTAATTTTTTTAGGTCGTCACTTTATGTTGACATCTTTCACCTTCAATAGTGGTTTCTTTGTTGGTTAACGTGTTTTCTTTGTCTTTTTTTTTAGGTCGTCGCTTTTATGGTGATGTTTTTCATTTTTAATAGTGGTTCTTCTTTAACGTGGTTTTATTCATTTAATTAATGAGGTTTTTTTCGTTGTTTCGTAGTGGTTCTTTCTGGATTCTTAAGTTCTTCTGGCAACCTCTAGTTCCTTTTGGAGTGTTCTTCAGACGATTTTTGAAGATTCTTAGGTTCCAGCATTTTTTGGCATTTTTTAGAGGTTCTTCTGACGACTTTTGGAGGTTCTTTCTGGATTATTGGTACTTCTGGCATTATTTGGACCAGTGTTAAATATCTGAAAAAATTTTTTTGTTTTCTGAGAACATAAAATTTAAATTTTAGGTTCTCAGAAAGATTTTTAATATTCTCGAAAAATTATTTTATAATACAATTTACAATTTTTATGTTTTCAAATAAGAACATAATTTTTAAACATTATGTTCTCAAAAATATTTAATGTTCTTGAGAACACTGAGAACATTAGATATTAAATACTGCTTCTGACGACTTTTTGGTGCTTCTTTCTGGATTCTTAGTACTTCTGGCGTTTTTTGGCATTTTTTAGAACGACTTTTTAGTGTTTCTTTTTAGGTTCTTGGTATTCTGACGACTTTTGGAGGTTCTTCTTATAACTTTTTGGAGGTTCTTTCTGGATTCTTGGTACTTCCGGCGTTATTTGGAGGTTCTTCTGACGACTTTTTGGTGTTTCTTTCTGGATTCTTTGTACTTTCGGCGTTTTTTGACATTTTTTGACGACTTTTGGAGGTTCTTTCTGGATTCTTGGTACTTCCGGCGTTATTTGGAGGCTCTTCTGATGACTTTTTGGTATTTCTTTCTGGATTCTTGGTACTTCTGGCATTTTTTGACATTCTTTGACGACTTTTAAAGGTTCTTTCTGGATTCTTAGTACTTCCAGCATTATTTGGAGGTTCTTCTAATGATTTTTTTCTGAATTCTTGGTACTTCTGGTGTTATTTGGAGAATTTTGGAGGGTTTTCTGATGACTTTTTGGTGGTTCTTTCCAGATTCTTGGTACTTCTAATACTTTTAGAGGTTCTTTCTTTATTCTTGGTACTTCTAGCGTTATTTGGAGGTTCTTTTGATGACTTTTTGGTGTTTCTTTCTGGATTCTTGGTATTTTCGGTATTTTGTGATTGCTTTTGAGATTTCATTAGCTATGTATAATCTTTCAAGAGTTATAGTAATGGAGTACAAGAAACACTAGTAAAATTTAAAGAATTCACATGTTGTCACTCAAACTGCTATTTGAACTGCCATTCAACACTATCACTTGATTTCACAGACATGCATGTCTGCGAAGTCATTTGATATTGTTGAATGGTAGTTCAAATAACAGTTTAAGTGGTATTCAAATTTTGATGTTCAATATGTCGAATCTTTTAAATTTTACTAGTATATGAAAAGCATATGTGATTTACATTTCAAAAAAGAGTATCATGGCAAGTGTTTTTTTGATCTTATTTTTTATATTAAAAGACCTAAAACAGAGTTATACAATTCACAGGTACTGAATTTAAAAGGAAAATAGTTGATTACTCAGCTAATTACAGTAATAATAAAAATCATATTTTGACTGGATAATGATGAACAAATCACGGTTTTCCAAAATATTCCACGTGGAATGCAGGTTATGTATGGATTTGTGCATGATACACAAGATAGGATTACATCATGAGTTTCTTAAAATTATATTAATGCGAAATAGCTGGCCTAAATTGGGGATATATTAAAAATCTCATGTGTGATCCTATGTGAATTCCGCGATATAGATAAATATTTAGTTTAGATTTTCTTGTATTTCTTATCAGTTATTTTTTGTTTTTTATATATTTTTAGGTTAAATTAAAATAAAATATAATACCATATTTATAACTAAATTATTAATTATAATTTTAATAAATAATTATTTAAATAATCTTTATTTTTGTTATTATATAAAATTTTTTTATTAATTAATCTTTAAAATCTTTTTAAATATAAATTTTTTCAAAATTAATTTAAAATTTATAAAATATTATATTTTAATATGTCATATACTTTATTTAATAGTATTTTTACTGAAACTCATCCTGAGTTAACTTCTTTAAATACTAATATTTCATTATTACAAAATATTTATCAATCTACTTATATTGATGAAGAAAATAATTCAGAATTTTTAGAACAAAATAGTACTGAAACTAATAATTTTATTAGTAATGAACTATTTTATAATATTGATAATAATATTTTTTCTCAAATTGAAATTAATAATTTTTATAAAATATTTAATCAAA